TTGTAATGGTGCATGTCCTTAACCTAATTACTGATCTTTTAGTAGCCACTTCTTTCCCATCTCTGTTTTTGACTTGGCAGTCTTGCAACAGGCAGGTGAACTATGTTGGAATTTATTAACTTAGCATACCACTAGCTTTCACTCACCAAAAGTCCAAAAATGTAAACAAAGTCCTACTTTGTATTTTTTGTTGTTGCTGAAATAAAACACTCTAACCAAAAGGAACTTGTGGGGAAAGGTTTTGTTTCAGCTTATGCTTCTGGGTGATATTTCATTATTCAGAGAGATCACAGCTAAATCTTGAATCAGGAACTGAAGCAAAGTCTTTGGAGGAATACTGCTTACTGGCTTACTCCACCTGGCATGTGCTCAATCATCTTTCTTTTTCAACCACAGGCTATGTACCATTAGGGAGGACCACATACAGTTGACTAGATTTCCCATATCATTCAACAATCAAGACAATACCCTCAGACATGGCCACAGGTCTATTTGATATGGACAATTGTTCCTTTGAATTTCCTTCTTCTCATTTGACTACAGGCTGTGTCAACTTGATAATCAAAACCAGCCATCATGGACAGCATCTGAGGCCTATAACAAGGATCTCTCTTTGATGTAACCCAGATACCTGATTTTTACACCAATATATTGAAAAAGTGCCTAATGGTTTTCTTTGTTTTTTTTATTATAAAAACTTCATAAAAGAGTTATCACATTGGAACATAGAATTTTTTGGAAATTGTACCTTTAAATTTTTATCAGTCATATATATGTATATGTATATAAATAGATAGATATAGATATAACTACATCTATAGATATAGACATATCTATAGAGGTAGATATATAGATGATAGGTAGATAGATAGATATATAGATACATAGATAGATCAAGCTAGATTTAAACTCAGAATGATTAGCTGTAATTCTTGGGAAAGTTTGTTCTTTAATATCTATATTATTACCTCACTCAGGATGATTTTTTCTAGATCCATCCATTTGCCTGCAAACCTCATGATGTCATTGTTTTTCTCTGCTGAGAAGTATTCCATTGTCTATATGTGCCACAATTTATTTATCCATTCTTCAGCTGAAGGGCATCTAGGTTGTTTCCAGGTTTTGGCTATTACAAACAATGCTGATATGAACATAGCTGAGCAAGTGCTCTTGTGGTATGATTGAGTATTTCTTGGATATATGCCCAAGAGTGGTATAACTGGATCTTGATGGAGATTGATTCCTAATTTTCTAAGAAAGCGCCATATTGATTTCCAAAGTGGTTGTACAAGCTTGCATTCCCACCAGAAAGACAAATATGGCATGTACTCACTCATAGGAGGATACTAGACATGGAACAAGGATGACTGGACTGCTACTCACCACACCAGGGAGGCTACCTGGAAAAAAGGACCCCAAGAAAGACGCGAGGATCGCCCAATGACAGAGAAATGGCTGAGATCTACATGAACAACCTGGACATGAGTGGGAGTAATCAAGGGTGAGGGTCAAGGGAAAGAGAGCCTGTGGGAGCAGGGGATCCCAGCTGGATCAAGAACAGAGAGGGAAAACAAGGAATAGGAGACCATGGTAAATGAAGACCACAAGAGAAAAGGAAGAAACCAAGTGCTAGAGAGGCCCACAGAAATCC